TTAGGCCTTAGTTTAGGGACCAAGACCACTCTATGTCACGCGATACACTCATTTGGTGATGGTTAACGAAAAGGCTAATAACATGGTTTACGGATGAAAACATTGAAGAAGTTGAAGCATAATTTTAACATATTAATATCTATCGTAAAAGACTGGAGCGAACTATGGATAATTCTTTGAGATTTGTTTTTTTATTGATCTGGCAATTGTGTGTTAGTTAGTTTTGAATGTGTAATGGAGTCCATGAATAGGTGATAGTGTACGTGATGCAATGTTGTTTAAACCTGTTGTTTCAGAGGGCGCTGCTTATTGCAACTTCAAGTTGTACCATGCAGTGACTGCGTGCATTCAGTCGTATATACATAGCGGGTACTAGTTTGTAATAAAGATTTCTATAAGACGTAGGTAGCAGCACTTTAATTCAATTTTATTGAAATCTATACAAATCAGTAGTGCAGGTCCAATCACAACTGCACGCAGCCGCTGCATTTGCAGCCTACGGAGTGAATAACCCTTTTTTACACGACTGCCCAAGAAATCTATTTAGGCTATTCTTCGATTGAGGGATCCTTCTGCGAAATATTATACTTTAAACTTGTAATTTTTGTTCGTGTATGGCGTCCTCCCCCTAAAGGCTAAAATATTGGACTCGTGGCGGCGTTTATGGTTGTGGCGTGTGGCCCGTGTGCGGCGACACTTAAGTAAAAATTCTCTGAAATATAATACAAAACGTAATAAATGTTTTTTGAGCCGCCTTTCCCAGGATTCCCTTCTGGAATCATTACAGTACTTACTTATTATCGTAATATACGTCTCATTCCTATTTACTATACGCATTACGGATATTATTACCTCGCTAAACAACAAAGTTAAGCGGAAGCTACAACATTTTTTTTTACCCGTTTTGGCATTAGTTTATAATTTATAAATGCTTTTAAGGAGTGGCTTTCTCAATCGTTATTCAGAAAAATAACTTTCAATATTTTCATACTGCTGTAATTTTAGGAGGGGTTACTTAATTAATTAGCTCTTTAACCTTTATTACGCTGAGCCAAGTACTAGATAGATGTACAAGTATTTTTTGGGTTCCGTACTAAAAGCATGACAAGGGAGCTCTATAATAATAGCTAATAAAAATTGTACCTGATACTGACATCTGTCTTGGCTGAAAATTTAACAGTAGTCTTTCCGTTTTATTCTCTACTAGCGGCCCGCCCTCGCTTCGCTTCGGTGTAGAGCTGAAGTGTAGACTACAGTTTTTATTCTCAGGTTTGTATTATACACAATGACATCCATCTATGATTCTTCTTATACCTGCATGCAAAGTCTTAGCCCGATCGGTTTAAAATTGACAAAGTTTCATACAAACTTTCATTACCTAATTTATCCCCTTGGGGGTAGAATTGATCAAAATTCTTTCTTAGCGGATGCCTACGTCATAACACCTACTTGCATGCCAAATTTCAGCCCGATCCGTCCAGTGGTTTGGGCTGTGCGTTGATAGATCACTATGTCAGTCAGTCAGTCACCTTTGAGTTTTATATATATAGATAACATAATGGTAACATAATGGTCAGTGCATCCGCTCAGAATGCATCCTGGTCATCCCTCAGATCTTCATTTTTAATTTTGATTGTGAGCATTTTTTTATGTAATGGCCTGTGCCTTTCCTATAAAGTTACTATCAGTTTGCTGATTTTTAAACAACATACCTTAGACATGTTGAATCTTGTAAAATGTATATAAATCTAACCGTTTTATTAATAATGCAATTATGAAAATTAATGAATTATAATATTTACATTATTAGCAACATGGCTCCTGCATAGCTACCACATGAGACATTCGCATGCAGGAACACTAAAATCGCAAAGCTGTAGAGTTTTAATGATGTAGATTAAAGGAAATTTTGTCAGATAAATAAAACGAAATGGGCCAAGTTTGGGTATTCTTTGTTTTCATTAGAGATAATTGAATTAAAATGTAAGACGTGCGATACTTGTGTGTGGTTTCAGAATGTATTTGTTTGCTCGGAATATTATGATAACACGCAGACACACAGGTCTGAACTTTATTGGAACGTGACTGGAACACACAATCATGTCTTTGAAGTCATCTGCTAAACTTTTTACCTACCTACCTGATAAAGAAACCTTAGTCATCATCTCTATTACCTACAGTAGGGATAATGAGTAACTATTTTAGTCTAACAAGTAGGTAAATAGTATTGGACAAGTATTTTTTTACGTAGGCAATCAAACTATATATTTCTATTCTAAATGATGTAATGGAAGGTGACTTCAGACGTATCCCTGAAGTCATTTTACAACTTGACGAATCTGTATATAACAATACAGGGAGAAAAAAACAGCCCTAGCTGAGTTTCTTGCCGGTTGTTCTCAGTACAAGGTCTCCCGCCGTAGTTTTGCGAACTGATGGCGTAGCTTCTTGACCTTCACAAGCGCTTGTAACAGCCTAGGCTAAATGATTTTTCATTTCATTTCATTTCAAAACACTATATAGATATATTGACTTGAAATGTCGCATGACGACAAGTTTTCGTAAAATTTTTACTAAAAAGTGACGTCACAAGCCCCACCCACTCAAAAACTTTGACGCGCTTTATCATTGTCATTTTTCGGTTGATAACTTAATTAAAAAATGAATGCCCATTATTTTTTGATAATCCAACTGACGGACTTAATAGTTTACTCCGTCATCATTGCTATTATGATCCTAGTTGGTTGAATAAAGATTTTTATGATTATATGAAACTATGTTTATTGATTACTTTTTAATCTTTTTAATAACAGTGCCACATTGGGGTTTCTACTTGAATTGTATAATTCTCTGGGATGAAAAAGGGAGCGGTCTTGTTTTTTTGTCCAAAAAAAAACTAATTGACGACTGCCCTGACAAAAAAAGACACAAATAAAACTATTTTAACAAAAATAAAACTTAACAACAAGCAACGCTCAGTGCATTATTTAAGTCTATAATGGCCTGCACAGATGAAGGACTTTTATTCGCGGAGGACAAAAGTAGGGGCAGACACGTACACAGTGAACTTTAGTCCACGTCTGCGCTCGATCCGATTTAAAGAGATGGACCCAGTATTTTCTTTTTAAACGTCTCCTCTTTTTCTTTAACTTCATGTTAGTAACAACACAATTTTATCTGAGAATATTTACTTCCATAGCGAAAGCTCTAAATTTTCCGTCCGTCGAGAGTTTGTCACGGACTCAACGCACCCGGTGTGGTCGCCCGAAAATTTAGAGAAGCTCTCGCTATGGAAGTAAATATTCTCAGATTACATTGTGCTGTAACTAAAATGAAGTTAAAGAAAAAGAGAAGATGTTTAAAAAGAAAATGCTGGGTCCATCTCTTTAAATCGGATCGAGAGCACACGTGGACTAAATACGTGCGTTGCTGCCCCCTGCCACATGATTTCTATTTGTTTCGGGGACTCCCACATACTTTTGTTTGTCCAATCCAGTCTCTCAGTGTACTTGGTTGTTTGGGGGACTTTTTGTACGCGGTACTTTTAATACGCCGTGTGCGTTACTCGATGCAGTTGTAAGCGATATTTTGGCGATCAAAAATATCCGCGGACGAAATTCCCTCGTCTGTGCAGGCTTTAACTATAGTAACTCAAAATTGCCATCTAATTTCCTATATAATAAATGAATTGGAAAAAAATCCATAAAACCGCAGCATTATCTTGTCAGAAGACAACGCAATCAGTTTGGCGGTGCGCCAGACGTCCAGATTGTTGTGTCGTGCCACTATAAACTTCCCTTATCGATTCAGTTCATCGCTTCAGACGAGGTCTTTTTGATTCAGTCTCGTCCAACTGTGTTAATTTATTCGCGCCGAGGAAATTGAATAAACCAATAGTAGACAACTAGAATATTGGCAAAAGTTAAGACAATACCTAACTCCTACTGAATTCGCAAAGCAAAGTTGCACTCCGTCGCTTCTTTTACATCCGATTGTATGATTTAACCCGGCGTTCGCACAGTTGGGTCTATTTGACCCGAGCAGTTTTCAAATGAGCGTGTTTCTTAAAATGTTTGTGCGACTTTGCCAAACTTCTCAGTAGTTGGAGCTAATCGTCCCCCCTCCACGTCGGATTCGCCAATCAGTCGTGTTGCAGCCGCAGCGAGTGATAGACACGGCCAAACACGAAAAAGGTAAATATGACCCAACCATACTATTCGTGTCGTAATTTTGCGCCGTTTAAATTTTTTTTTTATTGTTGTTTTATATTGTTTATTTTGTTATTTTTGGCAAATATGTCTGGACTAAATGCGTACATATTACATAACGCCAATTTCTAAAGAAACTTAAGCCTTATACTGGTTCGTGAGCATTTGCGCAATCGTAAAATGTCATTCAGCTGCCAAGACTTATGCGCAAAAGAATAAGAGAGTTTTTAGGAGTAGGTACCTGATGAGGAGCCACCTGTGAAGATACTTTATGTAAGAAAGAGATGCCAAGACTGTTCTGCCAAAAAAGATAGAAAACTAATACTTTTCGGAGCTGTATATGCAAATACATCTGCAGTGAGCATGCAATGTTGTACTGCCGAGATTGCGCAGATGATAAGGATACTATGACTGACGTATGAGACTGATACAAATAGTATAATATTATTAGTTTACTAAAGATTTGATTAACATGTAACAAATTAGTTTATGTTATAGAAAAAGTTTGTTTTGTTAAAATTTTATGACTTTAAGACAGAGGTTGTCCATTTTGTTAATATTCTGTGACACTTTTATGAAAATGACATTAAAAAGATAGTTTCGTATCATGTTGTGTTTTTTCTTCTCAAACCCTATAACGATAATCGTTTTATACAGATAGTATAACCACAAACCAAATTTATTTTAACTTTTGTAATTATGGCGTTTTCTTACGGGTCCTCTCGACCCAACCCTACTGTCGTTGATGCATATTTTGACTGTGCTGACGCCGGGTTAAATGGTGTTAGCTAAATAGTACTACAAAGTAAAACATTTTGTTGAGAATAATAATACTCTTCATCTATGCGATTGGTGGTCCCAGGTCTTATTCTCGGTGACGAGGTAGCTGCGTCAGCTGTGAAAACGGTGCAAGGATGATAGGTACCTTTACCATTAACGATTATTTCTAATTATTTCTAATAAATTTATTTAACGGTGGGAAATCTCAGGTCCGTATCTCTCAGGTTGTATTCCATCCACTGCTGCGCTTGTTGCATCATCTCCTCATCAAAGTAATCATGCCATCCACCCGCCTTGCCTTAAACGAAAATATTAACATTATAATCAACAATTATAATAACACGTATAATTAAATTAAGTGATACTGATGTTTGCAGACTGCAAGCAAGAGAGTAAAACACAAGAACACCTTTAATCCGCAAATGAAGTTATTATTCTTCATCCGGGATAGATAATCATATCTTTGAAATCTAGAAATACTTTTGAACTCCTCATAAGCTATCGGACTATATTTTTTTATTTGGTAAAGTCACAATATATATTCTGGTCGCATATTGAGAAATGCATAGCCCCAAAAGCTTTTACAATGAATGAATGAATGTTAATGAAATGATAAACCTAATCATAAATCATTCGTCATTATCATCAGATTTCTTACTATGAACATTATTTAAATTACTTTGCTAGACTGGAAGGGCAAGTTAAATATAGACTGCACCCGCTGTTATAACTTTCCAATGCTAAGTTTCGGTAACTTATGTAGATTGTGGGCTAGAAAACAGACATTGCTAGGTCAGTTCCGAATGGCAGAAAATTCGTCTGCCTGAATATCTTGTATAATGGTAGGTAGGACTGTGTGAAGAATAGCTTTGACTAATATCTTAATATAAGATTGAATATAAGATTATTTGATATAATAATATCAAATTCTCGTTTCACAATGTTAGTGGTCTACCATACTCCTCCGAAACGGCTTTACCGATTTTTATGAAATTTTATATGCATATTCAGTAGGTTTGAGAATCAGCTACTATCTATTTTTCATATGAGTGAGTGATAAGGGTTGTCTACCCTAACATTTATTTTTTGGATATTTTTTTATATTTCTTATTTTTTTATAATGTGATTTTTTTATATGTAATATAAGCATTATTGAATCAATTTCCTAATTAATCAGATAATGGGTGACTTAATGAAGTAGTCGCTGAGTGCGATTGTTAATCTATTATTCTTTTACCTTTTCTTATGAAAGATTTGTCTTTGTTTACAAAAACAAAATCCTTAAGCGCGTCCATGTTAACAGATTTATTTTTCTTAAAGTTGTCGAAGCTTAGATGGTTGCTGAGCCGGCTGAGCTGTTCATCTGTCACTGTTTTTCCGAGGAATGCTGCTACCCTTTTTATTGTTGCTGGTATGTCCTGGAATGGTGATACATACACACATATAAATAGTTATAATTATCATTCAGCTCCCTCCCAAGATCTTAGTTGGTGGATGGTTTTTAGTATTGGAATCCATCATTATCATTAATGGTGGGGACATTAATGATAAGACACAGGCGCGGAGGGAGGGAAGAAGGGAGATTGGGCCACGATCGCGCCCAACTTTTTATAAGGCAATGTTTCCACCACATAGCCTTATAAAAAGTTGCAGACGTTAACTATATTGTTTTTGTTGATTTTCCCCAATTGATTGCGTTCTTTTATCGGAAGTAATACAAAAGGGCCGAAAAAAAATATTTTGTTGTCGCAAGGGTACACCTGAGGTGGTTCCTTAAAAAAATATCATTGTCATGATCTGACCAAGGACTTAGGAGATATGGAACGGAACTCTTCGTAGGATTTTAGCAGAACAGTAGTTCTAAGTAATATTACTTTATTAATAAAACATGTAGGCGTTGGCTATATATAATGTTAACGAAAGGTATACCTTAGTAAATAAGGCAAACTACAGGATTTCCAACTAATAATTTTTCTTACCTGCAAAATGTCTTCATAAAATAGGAAGAGCATGTTAGGATGGTTTCTTTTTTCCCATGCTTCTTTTACGTTTTCGAAGTACGGAGTCCAGTCAACTAAAATACAAAATATGGGTGATTAGTAACTATAATTAAGTTCTCAGTATAAATTTTCCCATTCCTCACTTTTTAAGCTTAATTTATATTATAGTAGCTGACCCGCCGATCTTCGTACAGCTTATAACAATTTGAAGAAAATGAAAGCTATCCGTTCGGCAGGAACTTCGACGACTTCGAATAATACTAATACAAATCATTCGACTAAGTCGACTGCACTTTATATCATTCAACTGGAGTTGAAGGAATAGGGCGGCGCGCGTCGCACGCAGCGACGTTCGTTGACGACGAAGTTGAGATTCCGTTGTTCTGTCAATTTATCGGATAAAAAGGTATTCTGTCACAATCGCATTAAGCAATAATAAACAAATTCACTGGTTAATATAGTTTTAACTGCAAAAATAATAATTAATAACAGATACAAGACTATTGTGGCAGGCGCCACGTACGAACGTACGGAAACTATCAGTTAGTTTCCGTACTAAGACAAATAATGAACGAACGAATGAATAACCTAACCTTATTCGTTGCGCTCTTGTAAATTTGACATTAGTATTACTAATCAGTAGTCGTTATTCGAATAATGACATTAGTATACTACTAATTTGCCTTTCGAATAGCCAAATTAGTAGTTACGAAATAGTCGAAAGGTAAATCATTCGTAGTCGCGCATCGCTAGTAGGAACACAGCTTTTACTATATATAATTCTCATATTTACTGCTTTGAATTAATAACATGGCGCTTCAAATTCGATTAATAAAGGCAAGCCCTTATTTCATTGGCTGTAGTGGATCTTGTAATAGCTGTCACTGTTAGTGTCGGTAACTCTAGTCAGAGGTACTCGAAATACCTTAATTTATCTATCCTACATTTTTCTAACAATATGGCCGCTGTTCCAGAAGAAGCAAGTGCTACCCCAATGTCAAATTTATATAAATAGTTGCCATATTCAATGATAAAATGATGAATGTCTTCAGAGCTCTACCGATCACATCTTAGAATAATAACATTTATGTCATTGCATCTTGTTCATACATTATGACGCAGACTACCACTGTGCATGCGTCTACTCTGGTTTTAATTGCACCACATAAATACACTTCGAACGCAGTATAATCATCATCATCAACCTATTAAAGTCCCCACTGCTGGGGCACAGGCCTTCCCTATGGATGGAAAAGGGAGTTTGGAATGACCCACCATACGGGCCCAGTGCGGATTGGTCGGTGCTAATGACTGCAGATGCAGCCGGGACCAACAGCTTAACTTGCCTTCTTAAGCACGGAGGAGCTCGAGATAGTTTTTTGGTCACCCATCCAATGACCGACCACTGCAAAAGTTGCAAACGCAGTATGGCTTGGTTCAACTCTGAGAGCATATTCATGCGTGTCTTGACGCGAGTTGTCAATTGCGACAGAATGGGCGGAATAACGAAATTTATTTAAAAATATTTCTTGGATTGATTTTTTGTCGTGACTTTGTATATTTTTTTTTCCCATCCTTGGACTGACAATAACGAAAAAAGTAAAAAGAGAATAATCCAATTTGGCTCAGTTGTTCGGAAGTGATGCGCATAGATACTTTTCGACGATTCATTTTTATAAAAGATATGTGTGACATATCTTTTATCGCCGGAGCGCGGAGGAGCTCGATGGCGCAGGTGGTTAGCGCGTTCGGCTGCGATGGTTGAAGTTAAGCAACTTTCGCAGTGGTCGGTTATTGGATGGGTGACCAAAAATATCTATCTCGAGTTCCTCCATGCTTCGGAAGGCACGTTAAGCCGTTGGCATCTGCAGTCGTTAGCACCCGCCAATCCGCACTGGGCCCGCGTGGTGGGTCATGGCCCAATCTCCCTATTCCATACATAGGGAAGGCTTGTGCCCCAGCAGTGGGGACATTAATAGACTGATCATGAATGTCGCAGCCGGACCTGAAAGACGGACCTGAAAAAAAGAGTCGTAGCTATCTCTCTAAGCTAAGCTCTCTCAATAAACGTCGGCATCCAGTTAAATCACTAGGTCGAAAGTTGATTATCCTTGAATTGTGTTTCGCGTTATTGTAAAAATTACGTATATCTAAACTAGTGTTATTTATTGTATGTAGGTCTCAAGAAAACTGATGGCCGAAAGAGGTTATGAACATTTTTTTCCGGCTAGCCCACAGACAGGCTCTGCTTCCGCAAATGTTACGAGCGGACTATGGTTCATTTTGAGGATGCGGACAACAACTTTTGATAGCGTGTGATGTGACTGACAATTTGGTAATCCGGAAATTGTTGTTCTAAATGCCTTGTCTGTAGTGAAAGCTTTACCGAAGATTGCTAATTTCGCTTGTAAAATCCGTAACTGTGTCACCACGGTCAAATTATTAAATCATTTCGAGTATTTAGCCGGTCATGGCTCATCAATACCATTCTCGGTAAGCTTTCTTCTCTTCTTGAGGAAAAATGGGTAGAGTTTGCATTTTCTCGTCAACATTCTCGCAATTTTAAGTTAGAACTTCTCTCAGAAGGATTTTGCACAAGACTGTACAGGGCAGACACCAGGACCAATTTGTTGGTACTTGCCACACTTTGGTGTTATAAATCCCAACAAACCGGTCAAACTCCGTGTAGTCCACGACGCAGTGGCTAAGTCCCATGGCGTGTCACTAAACTCTCTTTTGTTGGCCGGCCCTGATTGATTGGTTCAGGGAGGGTAAAATAGCATTTCCTGCAGATATTCAGAAAATGTTTCCTCAGGTCAAAATTCAGGAGCATGACCGTGACGCACAACGTTTTCTTTGGCGCGCCAGTACGACAGAGTCTGTCAAGATATATCGTATGTCATCGATAATGTTTGGTGCGTGTTCTAGACCTTCTACCGCTTGGTAATAAATAACCAATCTAAACGCATCAGTATTTCGGGAAGAGTTTTCAGAGACTGTGAGCGCAATAGAAAGCGGCACGTATTTGGACGACGATCACCCATCGTCTGAAATTATCCTTTTTAATGACACAACCTGCAGTCGAAGATGCAACTTATTTTATCTTGAGTGGCGTTTAATCCCCCCTTGGTCTCCGTTTATGGGTGGATCGTGGGAGAGAATGGGCAGGCTGATGATAATGATGACTTACGGTTCGATTAGAAATAAATCATAAAATTTAGCTTCGATGATACTCACGCCTGTTTTGGATAAATAAGTTCCAGAATTGTTTAAAGTTGCCTGAGTAGCCTCTGGACTGAATGAACTCATTGTGGTGGTAGTAGGAGACGACCACGTCCCTGGGGTCGCGCGCCACGTGCATCACGCGGCAGGTGTCCAGCAGCGCGGGCGGCAGCAGGGACAGCGGCAGGTGCGACTTGATGTACCGCTGTGACTGCATCGACGACACTTGATCGATCACTTCATTAATTGCCTTTAACATAGCCTTGTTTTTCGCGTCACGTTCTAAAACAGTTCGTGCCTTTTCGCTGTTAAGAAACATTGCAAACCTGAAGAGATATAAGATTTTTTTTAAAAAGCAGGACTCCGCGTTTTTTCCATTGGAACGCCGGTTTGGCGAACAGAAGACTATAACAGTGACCACAGTATAAATACCACTGGATCTATTTAAAAGTTTGTGAAAAAATACAAACGCAAGAAATACACTCCGCCTTAGTTCATAATTTTTATGCTTGCTTAAATTCGTTTTTTTTGGTTTTATAAATGAGTGTCTTCTTCGAGTAGTGATAATAAAAGTATGCTAAAAATGTGATACAAAGTCTTTTACCTAAAAAATTCCAGCAAACAATATGTAAAAACATTTATATAAATTTCATCCCTTGGAAAAATGCAAATAAAAGTGAAATCATTTTCAGAAAATGCTTTTTTGACCTATTTCCAAGTCTATCCTGTTGTTTTCGAATGTCAGTAAATAAACGTATTTTTTTAAAATTTATAGTTGCATTTACTTATTTTCTCATGGAGGATGATAAAAGTAGAGTCATGAGGACTCAAAAAACGCTCTCGCCTTTAAAATAGTTCTTTGCTCCCTTAGTTAACAATCTACTATTAGATTCCTCATAATTTGTATTAGTCAGATATTAGTTTGTTAGTTTCTTTTACAAGAAAATATGCATGCATACGAACGCACAAGGTACCATTATTTTTACTTCCTTTTTCTACAAAAAGGTGCACAGAATATTTTATTTAGATGCGTACATTAAAATAGACTTTCAGCTTACTCTATAAAGGGGAATCTTTTCACAAGTGGAATAGCCTCAGCTTTAGCGTAGTCAAAATTGTTTGCCACCAGCCACACTAACTCTTGCAACAATGTTGTGCCTGCAAACATGATTAAATGCACAGTTAGCCAAAATAATATTTTTAGATTATTTTCCAAATATAAGTACCAGTTTTACCATTATCAATTCTTATCATTTATTGGGGCAGCCAGAAACAATATTTTTAGGTAATAGTTATTTATACAACTGTTGTATAATGAGGGGTATTAAAATACGAATGTGGGTAATAGTATCACATGAGTGTTTTCATACCTAATTATAAGAGTTGCATACAAGATTTTATCTACACCCATGATACGAATCCTTTATAAAAGATACTGAAACCATGGGAGTTCTAAGAACTTAAATTTCATAAAAAGTTTCGGCGCTGTAGTAGTGAAGCGTGCGTGAATTGCAATGTTCTTTTTTTGAAATTCATAATACCACGCATTCGGCACTAAAATTGTGTTGTCTGATGAGCAAGCCCTTGGCGTGGAAGGGATTTAAAAAGAAAAGGAGTGTTATTATAAAATATACTAAAAAAACATGTTTATTATTTAATTAGAACATTGGATGTTTTAATGTAGGCTCAAAAAGCTAACTGTTTCCGAATCATTAATAGCGGTTTCAAATCATGGGTGTAGATAAATGCCTGAAAAGAACATCTTCAAGTATTTTATTAGGGTGAGATGGATTGGGTTTAGTAATATAGATATTTAATTTGCATATTCAATCTTATAATGCTGGTATATTGACTGCTTTATCTAATCATCAAGACAACTTTATAAATATGTTAAGATAGAACATAGATAAAATATAAGGAAAAACAGTAGGAGTGAAGAGCTGTTCTCTTACCTGATTTTGGATATGTAGTCACCCAAATGTCATCTGGTCTAACCGCCATATTGTAGATTTTAGGAGCCAAGTCTGTAAATCCATGGGGAAGCCAGTAGCCTTTTGGACCGATACGGACGAAGTCATCGATTAAGCACGAAGCTAAACATAAGAAATATACAGATTATGCATATTTTTAATTTTTAAGCTTATAACTAAATGATTAAATTTAGTGAAAAAAATATTAAAAAGTCAGGCAGCAGACGGGATTCGAACCTGCACTATGCTATTATGCTACCGCAGCTCTAATTGTCCGTGTCCAATTTTTATTGAATTTGTTATAGATTAGGTAATTTACAAGGTGCCAATATGAGTTCCATGTTAGACTGGGAGTAAAAATAACAAAGATCTCTCCCCTTAGCTAACCTTGTTTCCCTCTCAGCTATGATATGACGGCCTTCAAAAAGCGGGTATACCTTCTCCTTCAGAGCTGGCAACGCAAGAGGTGCTGCAAGTGTCTCAGGTGGATTGCAAGCTCGTTTGCCTTAATACACTTAAAAAAATAGAGCGCACCAACTTCTTTGCAAATAGTAAGAGTCTATCAATAGAAAAGGGAAGTGGAACCTGAATAGATGCAGCATAAATATTTGTTCCTGAGTTATGGATGTTTTATTCAGCTTCATGTTAATATAACATACATATTTAATTGAAATACTGAAATTCTAATATCCGCCGTTGCACCAACCAGTCTTCATTCGATTTGACTATAACGCAGTGTTTTTTTTTTAATTTTGAAAGTATGTAAGTAAAGCGAAAATCTACCTTATGGTTTTGAAATGGTTATAACAAAATAACCTTTTGGTGGGACAGGAATCAAATTGGATTATTATACTTAAGTAGTTTTTTGCTTCTTAGGGTTTCACGCACATTACTCATTAAATAAAACTAGTTTTTACCGGGTTAATGCACGAACTTTATTTATTTATTGACGTTTTCCTGAAAACCTGAAAAGGCTGTGAAACGTCAATAAATAATTAAAGTTCGTGCATTAACCCGGTAAAAACTAGTTTTATTTAAACAGTTTTGTTCTTATCCCCTGCTCAAACCACAAACTGAACATTATGCTTCTATATCCTATGCTAACCAATAAATATTTTGTATGTGCTTAACATTTGTTTTTTTGATTTGATGTAAAAAAATATAGCAGTTTATTTCTTACGATTCTATTTAATAAATAATACAAGTTTTAAAACAAATTATTTTTTCATTCATAATAAAAATACACCGTGAATTTTGAGTTACCTGAGAAACTTTGAAATCGTGTAAATAAACGTATGACACTCCATAGAAAAATATTGATTTCTATCGTTTACAAAATATCGTCAAACGGCACTTCGTTAATAACATACCTATTATGCAATTATTATCCGTTTAAAGTACGCAGATCTTTAAAGTACTTCTATTTGAATCAATTTATAAAATCAAAATTGTTAAGGCTTCATAATCGCAAAAATAGTGAGTTAACGTACCGTTTACGTACCGGAAGCATATTATAATAGAAAAAAAGCGTTTTAAAACTCGTATCATTTAATAAATAAAATCTTAAGAAATAAACTATGTTTTTTCTACATCGAAAGAAAACTCGAAGACCGTAGTATATGCAAAGCCCACCTCCCCTAGGTGGGCTTTGCATATACTACGGGGGTCAATGGGTATATAAATCAAAACCAATCTAAAATAGATTTGTTCATTTAAGTGTTCTGTTTTACTCATTCTCAACATAACTGCGCGGTTTAGGATTTTCATAATATCTTATTGTTAAAAAGCATATGAAATTAGAAAATTAATGATATAAAATAATATAAATTTTAAACCCCGGATTATTACACTATTATTAAATTTTATTCTCAGATTGATTTTTTTATTGTGTGTGTACAAAAAAAATAAAATAAAATTGACTATTAAATTGTTAAAGGAATAACAAACAAAATTATTACCACCACTGAAAAGTTTAAACACTTCCGCGCGCTCTTTCGGGTCCAACTTTATTATTTCGTATGGATAATACTCATTTTCAAAGCTCATTTTATTTTTTATTTTATTCAGGGAGCAGCAGAGCAATTCGTTTAGTCACGAATAGTTAAAAACTAAACTATGAAGAATGGGAAACCAATGTTCATTAGTGACGGTGTGTCTAAATACAGATAAGGATAATTGTTGTTTATTTGACATTGAAATAGGACATGAAAACTATTAAGACCGCCGTCTTATTACCGCGATAAGTGATAAGTGATAAGTGCGAGTCACTAGGTAATGGTACGAAGGGTTCCGTACTATTGTCTACAACATTAGACACTATATTATAATATCGGGCAAAAACGGGCAAAAAATCACGTCGTTTGTATGGGACCCTAATCAAATATGAATTCAATTTCAATGTTATTATTTATTTTTAAAGTAAATATACAACTAAATATTTCATGCGTCTACCTGTTGCCGTTATTAATTTATAGCAAAAAACGGTAAAAGTCACATTTTTTTAGCTATCACCATGCGCCACCAAGTACGGTTATGTACCCGTACTTGGTGGCGTAGGGTAATAGCTAGACAGTTAAAATTTTAACAGACGATATATTTCTGTAACAACTAAAACAAAAAATACTAATGAAGTCGGTTAAAAATAGAGGAGGGGCTCCCATACAGAATAGCGCTATTCTGTAAGAACCAGCGCACTTTTTACAGCGGAATTCGCGTATGATTTGAAATTAGAATACGAATTTGACAGATTAGTTTTGAAATTCGTGTAAGTCCTATTTTCAAATCAGAAAAGTGAGTTTGTTCTTTCAGAAAAGTACTGCTGCACGTAGACCCCTGCCGTGCGGCGTGCCGTACAAAAACATATAACACAAAGCATTGGTATTTTGAGATTATTTAGGCCCATGTAGTTACAGGTGAAATTGTAGCCACTGCCGTGGAAATCAAGTTTCGATACCTGTTTATAGAAAGCAATTCAATGGTTCTTCCAAAAATCCTCTGTTGCAAGAAAGAATTTCTTTACGACTGAAATGTAACGGTGCTTTATGAAGCATAAATTTAATTAACGGCTCTGAGTGCAGGCGTTTTTAGAATTCCGTATTTTTTGTTTTGTTTTAGGGACTTTTGGACCAAAATGTCCATACCAGCCCCATCGTAACCTGACCATACAATTTTCTTAAAATTATTTAATAACTTATTAATTACATAAAATTTTTGCTACCATATTGCAAAGCACACCAGCCTCCTCCGATAGAGGGTTGGCTAGGATGCCCTGCAATATGCCAGTTTCAAACTTATTAATTTTAAGGATGGAGAATGCATGTCTCCTTTCCGCTTCATTTTTGACGCATTCCATTAAAATGTGTTGCACATCCTCCACTTTCTCACTATTTTTTTTTAAAAGAAACAAGAATTTATTTAATGGAATATGTCCAGAACGAAGTCTGTGCATAATCATAATATATATACGACCTATGTTACTATTGTTGAACCAAGGTATATGAGGAGGTTTACTGGCTATGGTCTTGTACCAAATGCCTTTCATCTTAGACCTTTCATTAAAGTAACCTATAGCAAATGACCCTAAACTTACATTAGGTTTCAGAATACATGGGCAAGATAAATATTTTTGATCCCTCAGAAATAGCCTTTTTTGCAAAGTAATCAGCTTTCTCATTACCAGTTACTGCAATATGTGATGGTATCCATTGTAACATAATTGTTTTATTATTTATTTGTAGTTCTGTTAGTTAATTCCGTACTGAAAATGAAAAACACAGAACCCTTATGTAGGATCCCTTAGTTGTCCGTCTATTATTTATCTTTCAAGGCCCTTTATCTTAGGAACGCGAGGAGGTATCTAGTTAGTTAATTTAAACCATAATATACTCAGATTTACAATGCCTTAAAGGTGTGAAAAATAAAACTTTTAAGTTAAATTGAGAAAAAGATACGACTGTTTATGTTGTGTACCTACAAATTTGTACGAACGCTCGGTGGGCGAGTCGTATTTGCACTTGTCCGGTTTATAGGGTTCCGTAGACAAGGAACCCTTATAGTTTCGTCAAGTCTCTCTGTCTGTCCGTCCCCGGTTTTCCTTGGATACTATTAGCGCTAGAAAGCTGTAATTATGTGGAGATATGTATATCAATTATGTCGACAAAATGGTAGAAAATAATTCTGAAAGATATTTTTTTAGGGTAACTCCCCTACATGTAACCTGTAGATGATTTTATTTTTTCATCATCTACCCCATCGTGTGGGGTATCGTTGAATAGGTCCTTTAAAATTAATTAAAAGAAGAAGTAATTGCTTAAAATAAAGACTCTTTCAAAATATATTGTGGTGACAACGAGCAACTATGGAACCCTACGGCACGACACGCACTTGGCCGGTTTTTTACTTAAGGAACACTTATCAGAACTCTGGTGGAAATACCCCCATGTACTAATTTACTTTTATCGTACTTTAATTTAACATTGATATGGTAAAATTTAATCTATTGTTTGTATTTATGATCAAATATTTTTGGGTAATGTAAGTATACCTCATTATTATTATGATAAGATAATGTTGCATTTCAAAGCTAATCAATATCCACGGGACCATGGTGTCTTTATTATTCTCAATGATAACAGTTTTCTTTACAATATTATGGAACTACTAGAAGGAAAAGATTTTCTTTTTGTTATCATCCTATTACCGTACCAAATTGTATTTTTTTGAGGATCAATTAATAACGGGCAGTTTGTGACGAGCTAGTGGTAAGTGACGACACCACGTACCATACCTCCAAGGTGACCACACACATGCGCTTACACAGTTACACACCCCTTCCGCCTCTGTCTTGCCTTAACCGGTCGACCAGACTGGAGTCACAACAGTAGAACATACGCTCCAGGGTGGTAGTGTATTGTACGTAACGGCGTAATGACGGGGAAATCCGCTCACGGGGGTAAGCCCCGAGATGATGAAACTGCTCACCTCGTCTTGCGCCCTAGCCGCATCTTCGTGGCTAGTTTGGATGCACACAGACAGTGTAGCTAACGAGCAGCAAGTCACCATATACCAGGCTAAAATTGTTGTGAGAGATTTTTAGATAAATGTCTGTATCTCATACCATGCCTCAGTTACCTGGTCCACCATCATTCCATCCAAATAGCTCAGACCAAGCAAATCCCTCCCTGGCAATAGTTCACAATCACATGTTCCTTAATTCAACTGATATCTATAAGTTCTAGAAAAACTGTTTTTACCAGTAAAACATAGGAGTCCGTTTAGTCTAAAAGTACAATAAAAGCAATTTGGTAACATTTTCATATGTAACTTTATTCTAATCATAGGTCTAAATGCTCGTATTCATCATACTAACATTTGCCGGGGCAAGTAAACCTGGCGTATATGCCACTCGGCCACAGAGGTCGTCAATTATTCAGTCGTCAATATTTTTTTAAAAATCATTTAAATATGAGCCTTTGATTTCTCTAATGTTATATTTAGGGTGCATGTGCCCTCAGCATTTCCTGTCTTCTGCTACATAGCCAAACTGGAACTAACTTATAAACTTTTTGTTACAAGCGTTAATACAAGAAACTAGTGGCTTCGAAAAGCAAATGCTTATCGCACGAGATCCGAAAGATATTTCATCAAGTCTTGTATCTAGGTATATACTAAAAGCAGTGCAAAAGTTTCACATAAACAAGAAATAGAGAGATATATTATACTGTATTTGAATTCCCCTTATTATACCTTACTTCCCTATCACTTCATCGTCCTAGTGTTATTAAATACAAATTACTTTAGATTATAAGAATACGTCAACTAACTACGTTATCGACTGTATTCTGAGGTTATCGATATAATCTGGAAAGTGGTACCGTGGGTCGTTAAGGTATCCTAAAATGTGTATGATCAAAGCGACCATGAAATTGTAGTGTTTATCATGTGTCTATAAAGGCTCTTATCAAAGGGCGAATTTATCTTTATTTCTTTAAAAATAAGATCATAATGTTAACAGTGATGAGTATTTATCGTGTAATAAAATGCGAAGCCTCAGTGGAAAAGGATTTGTAAGAAAATTCTACATAGATAAAATATATTCGGATACGGTATAATGGAATGGAGAAATCTCATTATTTTAAATGAGAATTTTCTCCAAGCTTTAGTGTTTAAAAGAAAAACAATTCGATTGCAATCTTTTACATTAATAAATTACAATAGCTTCAGAAGTTGACATAAGTTCTAGTTTTAATAAGTATTTTACTAAAACACTGTGTCCGCATTGAGTTTGTCTGAATATGATTAACTATTTATCCTTTATTCACCTACATAGGTATATAACATAGTTTCACATCATGATTGTGTACGTTTTTGTCTTGCTTGACAGAGATAAAAAGTGCGACAACGTGACAAATATGTGTGAGCATACTTTAGCATCAATCTCTGTCCCACAGTCCAATAAGGATGGCGATCCTTACGTCAACATAAAGAACGGGATTCTGGGCCACAGAGCCTATTCTTACTTATATATTATACATGAGGGCGCGCTGCACTAAAAATAAACATTTCCGGAATGAATAAGAAAATAACCCAACTTTTTGACTTTGGTTTAAATTCTATGACTGTCTGCAATAAATCATTTTAATGCATGAGTATAGATATTATAATGTATTTTACTTAGTTGAAATTTCCGTGCATCATTTGAGAAAAGTGCTTTACAAGCCTTGGCCAAAAACAGGCATTGACAAAGTACGTATTTAAACGATCGTCCATCAATGCCCCTTGGCCGCTGCAGTAATGTACTAATAAATATGAAATTTTAGTTTTGGCATCGTCATCTAGAAATTACAAAACGTAAATATATTTGAAAAAAAGTTAGTGATTTGCATGTGTGAGATAACGTATGGCATTATTGGTTCACACGTTTTTGCTCTGTATTGACTACAGCCAAAGAGCCTAGAAACGTCAATTAAGAATTCGGGAAGTGTGCTCTATACTTACACGAACTCGTTCCGTCTGCCCCATTCTACCATCGGACGTCAAGATGCACGGCAGGTTACCATCCTTTCAAGGCGCAAGATAACAGAAGTAGCAACATTTACATAAAATCATGTTGCTACCAATACAATTAATTAGAAAGGTACATTAATTATGTGTTACATAGTTCCTTGTGAATTTAATGAGAA